CATGCAAGCTTGCGCATGGGATCAAGATGTGCAGAGCACGGCTTGGGAAACAAGTAGTTCTGTCTGTTGGAGTTAGCCTCGTTTCTCAGCAGCTGTTAGTCTGTCAGTATACTAAAAAATCCAGAAGAGAGAAATTGCTGTAGCAGTGTACGCTACTGCTGGTAGTATGTGCAGTATGTGGTTTAGACATTTGCTGCTCCTTGCAGGGCGTTTTACCAGTAGTGTGGTCCAAGAAATGAGAACGTTGATCTGCCTAACGCCGCGTGGCTACCAAATCCGCTGAAAAAGGGGCCCAGCTTTCACACCTTCTGCTAGAGCTTAGCCTGGGGGTGTCTGCCAGGCCCTGAGCAAATGACTTCCAGTGTTTGAGGAGAAGGGGGTTGCTTGATGGCATAACCACTTTTCTTTCATCAATTTTTGGCCATTTTAGACTGCTGTTTTGGTTCATTCCTTCCTCTCTAGACACATGAAGATGTGTTTTTCCAAGGCCTGCTTGCTTTGCCCCATCACCAGTATCTCCCTCCAAATATTTCTGACAAAATGACAGAACTGGAGTAGGGATTTTTATTCGTTAGTTTTATCTTCTGGATATTTTGCCCTGGTAACTTCCATTCCACACCAGCTTCTAGCCTGGTGGTGGAACACAGTACAGGTGATTCAGTCCCCCTCCCTGCGGGGACTGCCCCCCCCAGCCGACACAGCTGGGTGGGAGCGACGGGAGGGTCCTGCTCGCTGACCTGAGCGCCAGGAGCGCTTCGCTGCCCTGGGCCAACGGCAGAAAGGTTTCTTTTACCCCTGTATGGAGCATGGCGTCAGGTTACAGAAACCCGTAAAATCCAGCTTTGGCGTTAGCACTCGGAATTTCACTGAAATTCCCAGAGCAGCATTCTGTTTGGGTGCCATTAAATTGCATAGTATTTCTACTGAAATTACATCATTTGAACCTGTGGGAGAAGTCTGGTAGTAGAACTCCTCCACAGAATTACCCTAATTTTTCATCTGTTGTGAAGTAAAGGTCATGTTAATGTGTACAGGTATCTTAAGTATATTATTTAAGAGTAGATACTATTTAAAAATCTATTTACACTTTTTAATGAATTTCACAATATTTTCTATTTTAACGGAATTATTCATACAAAAGTTGCCTACCTCAATTGCTAACCTGTTGCTCTGTGTCATTAGTTTATTAACAGGTGGTTAGTACAATCTGGCCACAAACTGCATGAAAACAGTTTGGGTGATTTATGTGATCACAGAATTCTCAAGTTGCTTCAGATAAAATCATGTTTTTTGTATTGGCGTGGTTGTGTTGAAGGTTATGATCACTAAAAGCTTTCTGCAGGATGGCAGGAAATGTATTAAGTAGAATGAGAATTGTTTCTGAGATATTTCATTTTCTTCTTTTAAATGGATCCAGCTGATGGAGCCTGAGGGCACAAGGAGAAAGGATAAACCACTGCTGCACACCTCTTCTTAACTGGGTCCCCTTGGTGTTGTGTTATGATTCAGCAGTAATTGTAAAGCTTCTGTACCACGTATGTCTGTCTTTTTACCTAATCTCACTATCTTAAAAAATTAAGAGACAACTACATCTCTCTCTTTCATGGGGGAGAATGGTGTGTGGCTAGTTGCTGGTTCCCCCTGCAGCATGTATTTTATACAGCATTAAGCAAATGAAAGAAAATTGTATTAATTGTAAAATTGATTTACTCAGCTCATAATACAAGTGTTCTGGGCAACCTAAGAAGACACCTGTGTAACAATGCAGTAAGACTCGAGGAAAGGGTGATTGAGAAGGAGGTAAGTGGAAAAGGTGCACGAGGGCGTCAGCTGCACCGTGCTCAGGAGCGGCCTGCGCAAGTGCTGACATTGCCAAGATGGCCTAGTGTTGCTACTTCCTTTATTTTGATTTTGCATGGTTTTGGGGTGGGGAAGTAGAAATGGAATAACTAAGGCGTTGAGACACAAAGTAGTGCGGGCGTTTTGCTGAAGGATTCGAGTATTGAGGTCAGCGGATGGCTGTCGCTGGTGGTACTGATCTCTAGGCTCTTGCCAGGGCAAGAGGCTTTGTGTCAGAAACGTTTGGAGTTACGTATTTGGTAGGAGAATACCAGTAATGCAGAATTCGGATTAGAACCAACAATTCTACTGGCTTTGTCCTTTCTGGATATAATTTAGCATTTGGATGTTGGCTTGGAAGTGCTGGAAAGTATTTTCTACAAGCAGACAAAGTGAGTAGGTTTTGCTGTCATTGATTCTGTTGTCCTTGCAAGTTTTAAAACCTACAGCAGTTTTCAAATACGAATTGATTTATTACTTTGATACTCTTCTATAATTCAGTATATTTTACTTCTGCCTAACTAGCCAGGCCTCTGTTCTTTATTTCAAATTTTGAATCACATTTCCAGTAGTTGAGAGAGGAGGAAAGATGGTGCTGTGCATATACAGGGTTTTTGCTGTTTGCGCTTATGAGAGATGCCTGCTGTTTCTGGAAGTGCGGTTTGTTTTATAAATGCTCAGAGCCAGCTCTGTGTGCAGCCGCTGCTGGTGCCGGGCGCAGAGGGAGGAGCTGGGCTTTCCTCCTGCGGCCTGCAAAAAGCCAGCTCTGTAGCTGTTCTCCAAGTCATGAGGAAGAAGGAAACTCCATTTCACAGAAAAATAACGTTCTCCTTCAAGAGCAGAATGCACTCGGAGCGTGCAGCATGCTCTTCGCATGACTTCTGGGGAAACGAAATGAGAAGCCATAATTGAAAGTCTGCTGTAGTAAATTTAAAATTAATTGGCTAACAAATTCCATCTCTTAGGCATGCCATCTGAGGCTAAAATACTTAATTTTTTTGTTTTAAATATTTCATCATATACTATCATGATTCAAAGTCAGGAAAGCATTCAGAAATATTTTAAATACTAATAAAGAAGACATAGATGTCATTATTTCATTTCTAGCTATTTTGTTATATTAAGACCTATTTAAATATGCTTTGTGTTACTTAAAATTTTTGAGGTATTTATTTAGCCTAGTAGGGTAAGTGCTCTTTACAGTGCCCTGGAGAAAACGGGTGTTACTGGTGGCTTTCTCCCTGGCCAGGCCGCCTGCGCTGAGGATATTGCTCGCAGAGCAGGGGTTAGAAGCAGTTCCCTTTCCTCTAGCGTGAGGACCGATGTTTAAAGCCTGGCCCAGCCAGCAGCTAGAACTGATTAAAAGAATATTGTCTTCAGAAGTCTGCCTCAGAAATTAACACCTCCAAGAATGTCTTTAGTAACAGGGTTTGCAAGGACTGGAGGGGATGGCGCGTGCCGTGCCGTGCCGTGCCGTGCCTGCCTCCTCGCTCAGTTTTTCTCGGCGATTCGCTCCAAGTCCCCCGGGGAGACACATCCTCAGTGGTGCTGCCTCCCTCCTTTTCCCCTAAATCAGGAATCAGGCCTTTGGAAGTGGTTTTTCTTCTGTCTGTGTTCCCATATGTAGTTCAGCTTATCTAAATTAATCTTTTCGTTCTTCTGTGTCCTGGTCCTATAAGCTGTTAAGACAGCAGTCCTAGAACTTTTTGTTAGTGCTTTTTTTTTTTTAATTCCAACGTAAGAATCTATTGAACTAGACGATTTTAAGAAGGAAAAAAAGGACTATGTCCTTACTTTTATAATACGAATTTTTAATACATTTTCTGTAGTTGGAAGTCGGGTTTTGTAAGCAGTGTCATCTTTCCTTCGGTGATTTAATTTGAGAAAAAAGAGATCGACACATGAATCGTGAAAAAAAACTATAGATAAATAAAATATCTTAGAAAATAATTCACTTGAAGTAACAGCATCTGTACACGTTTATATCTGATTTAGTTCTGTGAAGTGTATTTCTTTGATATTTAGCAGATAAAATTTTAATACAATACAGCTCTCTGGGAAAAGATCAAATTCGTTATGTCTGTGACTCTTTATGCTTCTTGCAGCTGTTAAGTTGCTAGGCGACATCAAATGCCATCTAGCATCAGACCTGTTACCTAGAACTGGGCACCTCTGCTAACGAATCACTCTGTTGCATTATCTCGAGTGGAAACTGGTACCAGTCACCACTGCTAGTGTCTGAAGGAAATCCTCACCTCCCAAGCCTTAGGAGTACAAGCTTTTAAGAAGTACACCCTTGGCAGAGGTAGAAGTAGCCAAATCAAATATCACGGAACTGATTTTCAAGACAAAGCATAATTAATAAAAAAAATTTACAAAAGAAGGCATGTTTTCATTCCCAGGTATTTCAGTGCTGCGCGCAGGCGCCACTGTGTCTTGCCATGTTCTGCTTAAGTCAATAATCGCCTTCTCCGGACAACTGAACTTCTCTAGGCTTTTTCACATCTGTGGAGGGTGTGAATGCATGCTTGGTCGAGCCCACGCCTCTTTTTTCCAAGCTGGGAGAGCAACGCACTGAGAGAAGTGAAGTAACGCTCTTCATCTTTGGATGCGAGTAGTTCAGCTGTGCTGCAGCACATCTGCCTTCCCTTCAGAATATGCTTCGTCTTCCAGGCAGCAGGGGAGAGTCCTTCAGTGCTGAGCAAATAACGAGCTGGGGAACATTCACAGCAGTCCTCTTTTCATAATATAAAGAGGGCAGAGCAAAGGGGAACAAATGCAATTTACTTTTTTTATATAGGGAAAGGTGCCCGAGTAATACAATACATACATACATCAAGATCTGAGTAGAAATTTCTTGCAGCAAGCAGTGTCACCTGTCCTGCAACATGGGCATGATATTTAATATAGGGATAGTATGGAAGTGTTTATGAGAATTTTTTGTCCTTGTTAGACAGCTGAAGATGAAGGGAACGTTTTGTTTTCATGCAGACCATCCTCCACCTTTTTATTATATGGTCCTTCCCTTTGGAAAAGAGCTTTAAAACCTAAACATCTACCTGCTTTGCTTGTAGAGTACAAATATCCTCACATTGATAGAATGTGATAAACCATCACCTTGTTAGAAAACGGATAATTTTACAAGTTACTTTATGTTTCAGGTCCTCAGTATCGGCTGGAGAAGCAGAGTGAACCTAATGTCCCCGTAGATTTAGACTGTACCTTGGAGAGCCAGAGCACTTTGGAATTCTGCCTTGTCCGAGAGAACAGTATGTTTGCCCTTTTCACTTTTGCTCTTGTAAACTGCTTAAACTCACATAAGTTATGTATTTTGGAATACAAACTGTACTGTCTGGGCAAGTAAGTTTTGACGAGACTCTCTTTCCTAAGGCACTTTTCAGTTGTGCCAAAAGAATATTCCAAAGGGAAATGATTGATTTCATACCTTTTAGTAAATAGTCTGCATCCTGTTTATCACTTCATGATTAATCTTTTTCTGTTAAACTCTCCTCTGCAAAGTTATGACCAACCCTGAAAAACACTTGAAATATGCAGGCACTATTTAGTGAATAAAGTAATTGGTCTGCAGTATATTTTGCCATGTCAATATTGCTGTTAGAACAACTGAATTTTTTTGTGGCATTTACAGAAATTAACCATGCAGATATAAGTAGAGCACTGTGATGATTTTTAAAGTACAAGACAATTAATTTTCTCTCCAGCTATACTAAAATGCTTTTATTCTTTTATTGTTTTAATGGTTCTAATGTTGTTCCCTTATTTATTTCTTTACAAGGAATTATATGAAACTTACAAAAAAGAAATTTAACATAGATCTGTGTTTGTTGTCTGTACCATTTTGGTCCATCCTTCATTCTTTCCAACAGTTTGGCTCCCTGTTTTGTTTCTTTCTCATTTTAATTTTAATTCTTCTATCAAAATTTTGATTGTACTAATGAGGAAAACTGGTAGTATCCATGTTCTCAGTTAAGCCTATGCTCAGAGGATTTGCTGCAAACAATGGCAGTAAGAGCCTATTTCAAAAAGTAGAATTTTTTCTCTCTTTACAAAAATTAGACCCTTCCATTTATGTTTAGCATTTCTTGTTTTATCTTTGAAAGACAATGGAGCATCCCTGAAGGAACTGCTAATTACAGGGGCAAGTTATAGATTTTGCTCCCATTTAAGGAGTAGCAAAGCTGAGACACATAAACTGCAACGAGTTTTCTAGTAGTATGTCAGGAGCTGAGATGAAACGCTTACAGTTTTGGCTGCCACTCTTAGTAGGGTGGAACTTGATCCCAGAATACACTTGATGCTCCTGCTTCATTTCTTCATACAATGGTTCTAAGAAACTGCGGGAGAAAACTGTAGAAGAAATGCTGCACATGAGGAAATAGAGCAATTTGAACCTTGCTAATCAAGTCACACTCTTCCAAAAGCCAGAATTTTCTTGAGGTCAGCATTCCAGCTGTTCTTTTTGTATCAATTTGTAATCAATGAAAAGTAGGGAGTTTTCTTAAATATCGATTGAAGTGCCAGCTGAAGTCAAAAGAATGTCTTTTACTGAACTAACACGAGTCATGCTTCTGGAAGTTTTGCATATTGCAATTAAAAGGAACTAATTTTTCTGTCTAGACTCTGTAATTCAAAGTAGATTGCATACGCTGCTTTTACCTATTTTCATAATCTGTGGAGGAATCCATACAGTGGCTTTTAGCTGTATCTGCTTATGCTCTTAGCTCTTGTGAGTTACTAGGTTCAGGTTGCATCACTCCTTCGATGGCAAATCGGTCATAAATTTGTAATGGTTTGGCAGGAGGTATTCCCCCTACTCTGCATCAGTACCAAACCTGCATCCCTGGCGTGGTGCAGTGGAGACTGTTCCAAGAGGGCTTCGAGGCCTCGTCTCAACATAAGTGTGAATCATAATGTTGAAGGAACACTTTTACCTTTCCTCCCAGTCCTTGTGCAAGGACAGCTTCTCTTCTCTCCCGGACTAGGCAACAGACATGCAAAAGCAAGCTCCCGTGCAGAACAGAACAGAACAAAATACCAAATATATCACTGAGGCTGTAGAGTCCAAATACTTTTAATTAATTACTGAGCTCTCCTGGCCTGTGTTAAAGCCAATCTTCAACACGCTTCTAAAACCGTTGCTTCGACCAGCTCCTCAGACAGCAAATGTCCTGTAGCCATGAGAAGGCCCCAGCTGAACTCCTCATGGGCCATCCCAGAAGACCGCGCGCTCTTGGCTTAGTAGATTGCAGCAGTTGCCATTTCCTTTCTGATGCAGTGTCGTAATGTGGGATGTGATTTCTTGTCCCATTCATGGATCTCATGGCCCTGCTGCTTTAGGTTTTTAACATAAATGTCGACATGTCCTCCTTGCACGCTCCCCAGGCGGCAATAGCATAATCACTTCCTTCCCTCAGTCTCCACCCTGGCAAACACTTCTATTTGTCACCCAAATCTTGGGACACATGACAGTGAAATAAAAACAGACACTTTGTACAGTTCAAAAGCGAGTCACTATTTTAATTTGTTCATGGTAGGCAGTAACCTGAGCAAAATAATAAATGCATACACGTATTCTGTATCTTTTCTGCCTTGCTATTACTGAATGTTCTCTGGAGTGATACCAAACTCCAATCAGGAATGCAGGATAAGTCTTCTGCTTATCCTTTCTCCCCCCACATGCAGGTAAGTTTGACGTGATCTTCCTCTTCCTGCTCAGGAATGTATGTGAAACACCCATGAAGTTAATTCTACATGCATAGATACTCAAGGACACTAAAGTGCCCAAGATCGGTCAGAATTCATGCGTTGTATGTGGGCTGGTTCTCCCAATACACACGGAGCAATTGGACTTTGTAGTGCTTAAGGTGTGATCTTTTGGGGTGAAATAGAATAGAAATTATGACTATTTTGGACAATTAATAAAATAACAACTTGAAAATCATAACATCAAAAAGAGATAGCCATTTTGTGTGTTTTGTCTTATTTAAAATATTTTTAGCTTAGCTATCCCAGTCAGGGAGAAAGTCTGTTATAACAGCTATTATTTTAAAATGTGCTCTTTATACTCTCATATTCATATATATGTATATGTGATTTACGGTGCCAAACAGCTGCTAGTAAAATAGCCGCCAGTTTCTTCTGGGGAAATATAAAGTTTATATTTCAAAGTATTAAATGAAACAACTTTTCATTCCTAAGAAATGCATATGGAGAAATCCCTTATCTATCCAGCATTTACTGATAGTAGTCAAACTAATAAACTGTTTCCAGCATTTAGAACTTTTTAACTTGCAGTGAGATTTATCTTTAAACTAAAAACCTGCACTTTGTCATGTGAAATGCTTTTATGTGAAGTAGGAAACTCTTCACGGCTAGTTTAGTTTTATTCTTACCATCTTACTTCTAGAAAGTTCTTTCTCATTTTATCATTAGATAGTAATTAGTATTCAAGGGAAATTGGTCTTAATATATTAAAATTGGTTTAGTGCCTTTAAGACCCGTACCAAAGCCAGTGTCTTATTGGAAAATGTAGTTGGGGACTCTGTGTATGTAATTAATTGAATTACAATTAAGAACTTTCATTAAGCAATATACTAGTACATTAAAGTAGTAAGGGGACATTTTTACAATGGAGTTAACTTTATATTTTGTTGTTTTATTGAGGAAATACAGGCTCAGGCACTTGAATATCTATTGTCTTAAATATTTTAAGAAGCCATACTGTGTATGATGTTTCTGTATTACCTTTGATATTGTTAATGTGTCCTTTTTATATGTCCCCAAATGCTTACAGAAGTCCCTTCTGGATAAGCCTCCATGCTTTAGCTCTGTAGCTCGTGCTTCGTGGTGCCTCTTGTTTCTGTGCTGTTTGTCCCTTTCAGCATCTGAAGACCGGGATCTGCTCTTAGGAGAGTTGACTGAGTTACAAATACAATTTTCTCACAGTATTTTTGAGTATATGAACAAAGATACCACCACCTCTATACCGAACTGGGCTGGGGGCGGGGGGGAAGGGGAGTGGTTGAAAGAGAGAGTAAAGAGCTTCAGTTGTTGCTTCCAGTCGGAGAAATATGTGAATTTTCTGGATGACCATCAGACTAGAGACTGAAAATTAGTTCCGTAACTGTAACGTCTAACACACCACAGTGCTTCACCGTAGGGAGGTGGCTGTCTTAAAGTGTAGAACTATGTGGCCGTGGAAATAATTTTTGCTTTTTATTCAGCATCTACAGGCAGAAGAAACCGCTCAGCCTTTTTTTTTTTTTTTAAGTAGGAAGCTGTGTTTTCACTTTTTTGTGCAATTGTGCTACACAAGCAATTTAAGCAAAGGGTTGAAGAACAATTTAACTCTGGCGTAACTGGTGTTAGGAAGGGGACAGGAGAGATGATATGAATCAGATGGATAAAAAAGACGTATGGCTTCTGTGTTGTAGGATCCTCTCTTTCCAGCACCACATGTTGTCATGGTTTGGCTTGATTTTTAAGGATTTGAAAACGTGTTATCTGTGAGAACAACTTCACCCTTACAGTCTATACTGGTTTTATCTAGGAGACGGGGTGCTGCTCTGCCCCTGCCAGCGGCAGCCACAGGGCTCCCGATCACGAACCTTAATTCTGACTGCGCGCGCGTGCTCCCTAGGCGGGGTAGATGTCCTGGCACCAAACGTGGCAGGGCCCAGGATGCCAGAGAATCCAGAGCCTCCTCGTTTAGCTGTGTCCCACGTTACTTGGTTCCCTTAACTTGGGCTTGCAGGGCAGAGCCGCACGCTCCCTCTGGTCCATTCTTTTCCTGCTCAGCTCAGGGGTTTTTCTACCCCGCTTCTCCAAAAATAGCAATCCTATTTTGGGGCAGAGACTGGAAATGCCTCCCTATTGGAAGTCCTTTGCTCTTTGTGCAGATTCGCATCTCCCTTGGTGCCCTGTTTCTCCCACATATGACGACATCAACTTTTTTCCCTTTTTATTTTTCTTTCACAAAGTAAATCTTCTCTAATTTAGATAGACTATAAGGGAAAAATACAAGGGTTACTGCAAACTTAGTATCCGTGTCCTCTGCAAGCTATTATTTGAAAGAGTTTGCTTCTGGGGTTGGAATCTGTTCTCGCCGGCACCGTCGCTCTGTGCCTTCGGAGCAGTGGAGCTGGATGGGCTCTCGGGCTGAATAATAGACCTGGAGCAGCCACTTTACTTGATTGTCTTCCCAAGCAGAAGCTTTTACATTCAAAAGCCACATTGTGATCTCCATTACAAATACCCTGACAGGCCTGTAAATATTTGACAGGTTTATTCACAGCTGCTTGCATGTGGAAAATATTTTTATGTTTTTTCCTCCAATCAGCTCTTGGAGATGGCTCTTTTCTCCATTGTTGAATTCCTTCAGTCTCATAGACGTTCGCGCAGAGCTGCAGGGGTAAGAGCAATATGCCAAGTTCTGCAGTCAGGTTTTTCCCTGCAGGGCATTTCTCTCTGTTGTTACTGATATTACTGCTATTATCCAGTGCACCCTCAGGGGTCTGAGTGTCTTGCCATCTTCAGACAGATGATCTGTTTTGATGGTGGAGTTCCTGGCTGCTCTCCCAAGAGCAGCAACTGCAGAAATTCTGTAAACCTGAATCCATTCACAAAGCTTCATAAAACAAAATCAGCAGAGGTTGTGTGATGTACAGAGGATCTGAAATGCTTCCAGTGCAAAACCCTACTGTTCAGTTTGCTTCAGCTCCAGTAGTTAGTACTTACACCATTTAAACGCTGACAGGGTATTCACATTTTAAGTTACAGTGACAATTTTTTCCCCTGGATATGGTCTGACAGGCTGCTAATTTTCTTTACAATACTTTTAATTGGGAAATATGAAATCTGAGATGGTTTAGCTTTGTAATAGGCTTGTAAAGGAGACATTTAGTATGCCCACTTTACAGGTAAATAAACGCAGACGGTGAGGTTAGGGCTTGTTCAAAGCCAAGGAGCAGGGTTGGGAGCACAAAGGTAGCGCTTGGTGGAGGTTCACTGAGAGTCTTAATCCTTATGCAGCGTTTTAAGAACATTTTACAGGAGCTGCAGGGATGAGGCTAATGTGTTGCTTTTCTTTGTGCTACTTGCAAATTTCTTACTGTTACGGATTATTTTGTTGGTGCTAACACTTTATATAAAACACTAGACTTGAAAACCAAGTATATAAGGTACCGTTCACTGGAAGGAGACCTAAGAGTCTCTTTATCCACCGTTAAAACACAGCCGTTCCCTGGGGGAAGACAGCAAGTAGTTAGCAACGCACCGTAGTGCTGGGAGCTGCTTCGCACAGGCAGATTCTCTCTGAATACTGGAGCTGCGTTTCGTTAGGGATAATATTAATTACCTTCGTGCTCAGCTGAGAACAACCAGCAGCGTGACGAGGCCACCAGGGTCCACGCTGTTTGTTACACCTGTGTCACCTGTGACCTGTTTCTGTGTTATATGGGCTCACAGTGACTGTCACTATTTTTTGGTTTTTTCACCAATTTTTGTCTGTCGAAGGCGCTCCTTCGCTTCGCTCGCTAGCCGGCTTGCACTTGCTCCTGGGGCCACCCGGGCCGTCGCGGTCCTGCTTTCCCTTCCCGCGCCTCCCTGCCGCAGCCTTCCTAGGCGCTGCTAAGTGCACCAAAAGTTTGACATATCTCGGTGTACCTTTGAAGTACTGCAGCATGAGTGTTTGACATGATACATTATGATAATCCATAGTATAGAGACATTAACACAGGGGTCTTTGACAAAATACATTGTAATGTCTCCGAAGGAGCCATTACAATTTATCTTGTCATTCTGTAGCATGGAGTGGTTACAATGTTAAGATGGCTCTGCATAAATTCAGGTGTAGACGGTTTCATTTGATTTTTTTGAATTTTTTTTTTCAAGTCAAATGGCACAGTGCAATTTGTCACTTAACCCTTCCCTGTCCCCTCTTCCCAAAAGAAATGTTTACGTCCTTCTATCGGGAAGCTCTATGCGGGGAGGCTGGGAGCGTGCATCGGTGTCACGCGTTCCCTTCTGGACGGGGTGGGAAGCTTGTGTGACTAATGTCTGTGAAATGCGGATCTTCACTATGTGCTCTGAACAAGCATTTTTACTCATTTAACAGCAAACGCTAACCCTGCTTTAATGCAGGCGTGAATGATCTTTATCATAAGCAGGGAAATTTGTTACTGAGTTAATAAATAGAAAAGGAAATACTTTCAGCAAACTGGAAAAATACTGAGGATTTTTTTCCTTTCCTAAGTTTATTCTGCTTATGGCCATTACCCTGACAGTTTGGTGTGCTGAAGCCAATGGGATGTAGTTCTGAAATTCTGAATTATCCTGTTAAGAGGAAGCCTGCTGCTGAATCAACAGTGTGTATTTGACACAAGTGCCAGGTTTTCCTCCCTGGGAGCTGTTGCCTTTCCTGGCAAACAGTCCCCTTGTCGGCAGGTTCCACATATGGGAACTCACCCTAGCTTCACCGGGAGCTGAAATCCCCAAATGGGATATGAATTTACATCCCTGGAGAGGAAAAGGCCAGTGCAGGAACCATTAGTGTGTTGAGGCTGCTCCAACTGCATAAGTCTTAAATAAAATTAGTACAGAAAAACTGACAAGTTCTTAGCCAGCTATACTATAGCTTTAAGACCTATACTAAAATTCTACCATCTTGTCTGCCCATTATTAAAATTTCAGCAAAATATAAAGTTTTCATTAGTCTCCCGTAGCAAATTTAGCACTCTGAACTGGCAGTTGATTCAGCTTTTAGGACCACATTAGCAGGGGTATTAAACAAAATGTGTCATTCTTCAGTACCTTCTGTAAGAAGCTGGATCAGTTTTCAGCCATATTTGTACCACTTTATCTAACAGCATCTGAATGATCATTGAGAGCTGAGATGCTTTATTAGCAGCTGGCATAGAAATTACTCTGTGCAAAATTATATATTGCATTGTAGTAATGTTTAAATTGGTGTTAATCCAACATCATAAAATGTAAAAATCTTTAAAGTGTGTTATATTTTTTTCAGTAATTGGCATTTTGGTTTAATGAGATGTTACCTTTTATAAAGCGAGTACCTGCAGTAGTAGTGAGAATACTAATCAGTAAATAAAAGTGTGTGTTTTTTACCACAGGCCTGAGATTACGAGGAGAAAGGTATTGCTAACATTTTAATGAGATGCCAGTGTTCAGTTAAATCCTCCACAGGGGGACCTATTGAGACACAGGAAAGCTGTACTAATGCGGTGGGACCAGGAAGTGCTGCGGTCCCTGGGGATGGTGAGGGCGGGAGGTGAAAGGGCTCCTCAGCTGAGACACGTTCCCGCTGGCCAGGTCAGGGCCTCTCCTTGGTCAGCCTGGGCACGGGGTGACACGCTGCGTGCAGCCCCCGCGGCGAGCGCGCCCGGGCCCTTTGGGACGCCAGCGCAGCCGCTGGGGTGCCTGCGGCCCACCGACGTCTCCTGTCGTGTCACAGTCTGTCATTGGGACGTTGCATAGCTCTTCGTGTGGGACACAAATTTATATTGAAATGTTGCAGAAAGATTTAACGATGTTAGTTTTGGATGGAATGTGAGACTTCCATGCGCCCAGACACACGGACCCTGAATGTTTTGTTCTTTCTTAAACAAATCAGCAAGCAGTCCTCATAGTTTGTCTTAAACCTTACTGCAAGCTGCAAACAGTTGCAAACGCCATGACCGTACTCGTATGTTAGCTTAGCTGTGTGCCGTGTTTTAAACCTATTGCTAATTACTGTTGGGTTGTTTTGCAGGTTCAAGAGGAGAAGAGATCTCAGAGGAAGACCCTCAAATCGATATAGCTACCGTTCAGGATATGCTTAGCAGCCACCATTACAAGTCCTTCAAAGTCAGCATGATCCATAGGCTTCGATTCACCACCGATGTTCAGTTAGGTAAATCAATCTGTGCTGTAATGCTTAGGAGAATGGAAAAGTTCAAACCTTCGGCATCTCCAACAGCTAGCTGTCCATCGCGGGCATTTTTTAAAGCAGTCGTTCTCCTGTTGGTCTGTTTTACAGTGGAGCGCATCACTTAGTAGGGCTGTTAGCCTTTCAGCAGTTAAAAAGATTGCTTTCAGTTGAAAATATTTGAGTATTTTTATTATCCACAATCAGCGAGCATGTATTTCTTCTGCAAGAAGGCCATTACCTAATGACTCCATCTCTTTTTTTTTGATCTAGGCTTCTTAATGGAAAGCTTCTTGCCAACGGTTTCGTTATTTTTAAATGAGACTACGCACAGTTAGGAAGGATGAGATTTCTCCTTTTTCTGAGGCTGAAAGATTGTCATGACCAAGTAGAATTTTGAGGCGGAACAAAAAATAACTAGCATTCTCTAAGGGTTTTATATTGTCCCTGTGAGCTTTCTGAATGCTTTTGAAAACCTGGAGGCCAAGGGATGACAGAATCTTGAATTATAAAAGCCCCATTACTGTTTTAAAATGATTGAATGGCTTTTTATATTTGTGTTAAAATTGTGAAAATTTGATTAATGATGCATTGGTAAGTGACCTGTGACATTCCTGCAAATACCTTCCATAAAGAAGTGATTCAGCAGTAAAATATTAAGAGCTGAAATGTTTACAAAATATGTTTATTCTGTGGAATTCAGTAGAATTGTTAAACTATAGCACTGTCTGTTATTATTGTCAGCTCACTCTTTTCGTTATTCCATCCTTAAGCACATATAAAAGAATATGTCTCTAAAATTTGTACGTAGGAGACTTTTTTGTTTATTTTGAACTGTCTTGTTAAGGAAGGATTTATATGCTGGTGTTGAAGCAGGACAGTGTTAGGCATGTTTTCTGCTCCTGAGGAAACTATCTGTGTGTGATAGTTTGCTTCCAGTGAAGTTTGACTCACTGTATCTGGAAACTGTCAGAAATGAGAGCTTGAAAAGGTCATGACAGATTGCTAAAGATAAATGGTTAAGGGAGAATAGCTGTTAAATGAAACAAATGGCCTAACTTGTTTAGCAGTGAAGGAGCTGACCCTGTCCACTAGTGTAAGGACCATAAAATCTCCCCTTTATAACACCCTACGAAAATGTATATTTTAGATGGCAGTACAGTAACAATGTGATTTTTATATTCTAATTATTTTTTACAAATCAAAGAACTCCCAGTGAGGTATCCAAGGTCTGGGCAAATGGACAGCATCAAATGCGCTAAATAGTCATAAGAATTGTATATTGCTGTTTTTCCTCTGGAATTTTTTTATGATACTGAACAAGCAATGCTGTTAAAATAAGCATTGAGGTGCTACTGGGATTAATGCTGCTGAGTGTTAAATGTGTTAATCTTCTGCGAGTGACAGACCTCTCCGTAGAATCTGAAATGTAAAAAATTATGTCTGATATTTTTTCATTGCTTATCAGTAGCTATGGTTTGGGAGACATTGTGTGTCAGTTTAACAGCGGTCAGTTACAAAGACTTCTCTTTGTACCTTTTTTAATCTGTCCTTAGTTTTGTGTAACAGCAGTAGAAAAGTGACAGTTTTTCTGGAAGAGGGCAGTGAGAATCTAAAGTCATTAGATGGCTCCCTTATTGGCAGTATTGATTATCTTGGTAGCAGTGCGGGAACATGTCTGCCATCCAGCTGGCTGAAACACACGGGACTATTCAGTGGTTTCACTGAAAACATCCATGTGGTTTTTGGGGGGAGTGCCAGTTTCACAGGTTTAACAAGAAGGATGTTTAAATATGACAGAACCCAGAAGCAGTGGAGAAGAAAACTTAGCATAATTTATTTCCATTCTGCCCAGTTGGCTGATACATTGTTAATACCTAAGAATATTACTTATTTAATTTGAATAGATTCTGCGTTCTATTCTATTTCAGTTGCATAGAGCAGATAACAATGATGTAAGCCACGTTTGGGAATTACTGTTTGCATATTGGTACCTTTTGAAACATTTTAGCTGTTTGAGGCCTTATAATTGAGTTTGAGGTCAAGCGTACTAAAAATTTTGGAGTGAGCTCAGTCTTCGAAGCACTGGTGTGTAGTTCTTCTTGATAGTAAAAGGAGTTATGCAAATAACAAGGGGATAAGTGACCACCCTTTGAGTGATGGTTTTTATTACAGCTGAAAGCTTTAGCCATAGCAGTTTCAGGGTCTGGGGTTTTATGTTTAGCTCATGTCACATTGTAATGCACATATGGTATTATTGTCAACATTTCTAGCTAGGTTCAGTCATGTTGTGAAGGAATAAGATATATTTGCTTATGTACCACATTATCAAAATTAAAGGAAACATATAGACTAGGAAAATCACTGCTCGCAAGTATTTGGGGGGGAAAAAAGAGAGGTGGGCCGTTGCAGATGCAACAAAGGAAGCAAGAACAGAGCGGTATTACTACACTACAATATCTATGACATTTCTTTTGATAAAACGAATGAATTAAAAAAAAATAGTAGAGGAAGCATTTTTACCTGATTTTTTAGAATGACTAATTTGTGCTATGATACAGAGACTGTAAAAGCCACATACTAATACTGTTCTGATTTTAGGTGTAAACACATACAAATTGTGAGAACAATAACACAAAAAAGACAGCATTCTTTGTCAGTGTGCTCCTTGGATGTGTGTGAGCTTAAGCTAGTGATGTCGAGATAGAGAAATAATGGATGAAGTATACAGCAACAATTTGCAGATAAAAATAATAGAAGTTAAAGTGTATTTTACATGATAAAAAAAAGATGAAAGAGGAGGAAGTCTGTTACATCTGAGATGGTTACAAAATCCATGCTTGGTGAAGTAGCCTCTGCTGAAAAGATTGATGCAATGGGGAGTGACCTTGGCTTGGAGCAGGAGCTGGTGATGTATGTATGAGCATCTCTCTGCTAAATGGACCCAGATTTGTAGCACTAATATACATGGAAGCCCAGAACCAAACTCAGGATGGCAATAAATCAACAGCCACTTTGGGTGTCATTTCTGGTTTATATTCCACTATTGTTCTATCACTTTAATTCATGTCACTATCATCTGTTCATCTGGAACAGTTTTATATAATTTTCCAGTGGAGTTACCTGACAAATCCTATCAAATTAACAAGGTACATTAACAATATTGACTGACTGTGAATTCTGAAGTTGTAGGACCATACAATGAGCATTTTAAAAGGATGTTTCCAGGGGTGATTTTTTTTAAGGAAGGGATGGGGGAAAGGGTTATTTATGCACTAAGGATTTGCACATTTATTTTTAGAATTTGCATTGACTTTTTTCAGTAAGAAAATAAGAACTTTTATCATCGACTTCGTGTATTTTCCTTAAACTGCAGAAAATGCCGTTTTGAATAATTAATTATTACAGTGAAATAACAAAGCCCGTTTTAAATAATCTGTTTAAAATTAAATTACAAAACAAAATGGGCTCCAGATACCCTATCAGCCTGCTTAAATTACCTAGTTCTAGTAGTCCTAGTATTAATTAGACTCTTGATACAATGCTTAATTGAAATGTGATATCTCTGATGTGACATATGTTTAATGACAAAGTGCATTGTTGGATTAATAGAAAAGGAGGAGGGGAACTGGTGCCATTACTATAACCTATCTTACAATAGCCAGGGTTAAAATGAAGGTTACCTTGCATTTAGTGGGAAGGGCTGCAGCACGATGCCTGCTGTATGCGTCTCTTACTTGCTATCTGTATGCTTTGGTTTCAGAGTACATAAAATACAGGAGAAAGGGCTTTGTGAATTCTGCGGCTGTGACCAGGCTTTAGGAACACTGAGTTAATTTTGGAGGGCTTAGGGAAGATGTTATGAGTGTGGCATTTTATTTTTCTTTGTCACATCTCTTAGAAGTTTATTATCAGCGCCTGTTTTCTTGTGCTTCAGACAAAGCAAGCACAACGTATTCCAAAGCATTGTAGCCAAATCCTCAAGAGGGAAGAGGTTATCTCAGATGGTTTCCCAGAGATGCAAGAGTTACATGGTATTTAAATACTTTTTTTCCTCTGTTGCTTCTTTTTTTTTACTTTATCATGAGCTTCAGCTATAACTCGTGACTTAAATGTAATTATTTTTAAGGCTCCGTGCATCTCAGTATGAAAAGCACATTGAGAAGTTTGTTCAGTCATGTCAACAGATACTAAACAATGATCTTCTGTTCCTCAGCACAGCATAGCAAGGCTTTCCCTTTGTAATGCCGTGCTAAAGACGGCTATAAATTACATTGTGTATCCCAGGGTAGAGTCCCGTTAACTGCAAACTTTCAGCCTGCTTCTACAGAGTCCCAGATCAATGGAAAGGCTCTTCTTTCACAAGTGCAAGAATAACATTTGGAGTGATGATATAGTGAGCATTTTCTGCTCTCACTCACAAAAGGTCTAGTGTAGGATTCGGCGTGTTAAAGTACGCTGTGTATCCAGGTCAACCTGCACAGCAGTAGTGGAGCCCGAGCCATCTGGGGAAGTCCATGTTCGGAAACGGGGCCTGGAGCCTGTGCCAGGAGCTACACAGATCCTCAGCTTGCTTTCAAAGCAGCCTAATTAGAGCTGGCTTTGAAAAGCCAGCAGTGTAAAAATGCACAGGGTCTCTGGGACTGGGCGTCTTTGTGAGTGTCTAGTTAACGCCAAGAGTGTTAATATACTCCTACAAATGTGTGTGTTGTCTTCTCATGTAATGTATGTAGTACGTATGCTGTGTGGCAGATAGAATAGTGACAAGTGTGTGATAGTGTCTATTATATAATAGTGATGATTGAAAAAAGTAGCAGTATCTTTATATACATCTTGCAGTTCACTTAGCTGCTGCTTCCAGAGCAGCTCTGTGTGTGTTGGGAAGAATATTTTTTGCGATATTCCTTTTTCGCTGGTATGCTTTTTTCCTCAATAAGGTGGGAGAATAAAATGCAGATTATCAATGCAGTTTGATAATCATTTGCTTTTGGTTTCAAAAGCTCATGTTCTTTCAGAAAACCCAAAAGGACAATATACTTTCATCCCACTTAAGATTTATAAAGTGTGTCAAATGGCTGATATGAAATCGCTTACACAGATCACTATTGTGGACTTCTATTCTTTCTCATCTCAGGTATTTCTGGAGACAAGGTAGAGATAGACCCTGTTACTAATCAGAAGGCCAGCACTAAGTTTTGGATTAAGCAGAAACCCATTTCAATCGATTCTGAACTCCTCTGTGCCTGTGACCTTGCGGAAGAAAAAAGCCCAAGTGAGTAGTCCTTTTTATTTATGTTCTCTCTTCTCTCGCTCTCTGTATGCGCTAGATGCCCAAAGAATTATTGCTACCTTGTCCTTTTCTTTCTATAGGTGTGTTTTATTCATTATAGGATGTTTTTAATCTGACTTGATTCTGTTACAGAGAACATTATGTATACAGATGCACGTTTTATGAGTGTCCTTTTAGTGCTGCTTACAGCTAATAGCATCATTAAGAGTGTTTCTTGTCCACTATCAGTAACTGTTAATAGTGTCATACAAAAAAAACCACTGGTTTTGCCTATCTAGTGTCTAGCCCCATAGCACAATAATCAAAATTGCACTTTCTTCTGAACTTCCTAACATCCCGAACGAATTTTAAAAATTATATTCCTAGACACAGATATACGCTGGTATTTATCAGCGCAATCTAAATTTGCTTCACTCACAGCTGCAGGATTGCCAGGATTATGACCTACCACTCTAGGAGTTTAGTTTCAGACAAACACTGACCATGCCTGACAAATAGGGCCAGGAAAGAGAGAGTCTGGCTGGAAGATGGGTTGGACATTGCAGTTCAACCTGTTATCACAAAGAGGTCAAAGTCCACGACATTCAGAGCGTGACTGCAGAAGCCAAGTGATTTTGCGTACTGTATCAGTGGAGCAGAGAGAGTCTGTATTTGTAGAATTTGTTTTAAAAAGCACAAGGCAGGACTGTAGCAGAGGCGAGAAAGAACCAATGTCTTCCAGTGGTAGCAAAATGTAACTACACGCTATGGAAAAGTACCTGTGGTTCACACATTCAGACAGATTTTATTACACTTGTGCTTTTGTAGTGTAGAGATGCTGTGGATACTACATGTTAAGTATTTATCTGCAAGGTAACAGAGAAGGAGAGTTGTGTGATACATATTTACTGAGGTACTGATCTATTGAATTCTTTTGGAAGAACAAATTTATGGCTGCCGTAGATTTTATCGGCAATTACTGAATGCTGTTCTTCTCCCTGTCGTTACCCCTTCCTGCTTGCTTGTTCTTAATCAGGTTGCTGTCTTCCTTGTCTCTCTGGCAAGTTTTCGTTGTACGTGGGATGGCATGATCCTGAGCAGCAACTTCCCTAGTGACCGGGCAGCTCAAAACGAGTGACAGTCGTCTTTATAGTGCTCCAAGAGGAGGAATTGAGAGTGTAACTGTAACACATAATTGGCAGTTAACAAAGGGAGGGATGGTGTGTTGCTGTGATGCTTGATAAGTACCTGACTGCTTGGTTTTTCAGCTATGCCTCAAATTAGTTTTATTGTTAAAAGGTTTTGCACTTGTAAATATATTAGCACCTCTGGGTTTGTAGCCACTTTTCATCATGCAAATACTTGCAGTGGTAAAACTGAGCCCACAAAACTGGGCTTTATCTGAAAATCCAGCCTTGAGCACCTAGGTTTCCGGCTCGCGCTCCTGGTAACCCACTAGTCTGTGCAATCCTGGAGCTGGCCCTGAACATCTCCATTCCTTGTGTCCTGGACAGGAGTGGGCTCGTCAGCCGTAGAGGCAGCAGGTGCTGCTGAAGGAGATGGGGCTCGTACCCAGATAAAGCAAGCAGCAAACCCCGAGGGAGAAGTGGGGCACCCAATCTCAAACTCCAAATGCAGTCCAGTAGCAGCAGAGGGTAGCTGGGGGTGGAGATCCCTGAACGAAGAACCGTGGTCACTGCTGAAAGGATACTGATAGGTTCTGGCAAAGGAAACCTTTATGATACTGAGGTTTTTTATTTACTCATTTTCACATGACCATTCGTAAATTCATTTCAAATTTCATATTAAATGAGTGTTCAACATGATTCTAAAAGGATAAAATGCATCTCCCTGAACTCTGCCGGCCTCTTTCAGATTCGCTAAAGATGTTCCAATGTCATTATTTTAGGTCACCACAAAAGACTTTTAGTGTGACATCCCAGAATGATGCATTTTGGGGAACTCATAACAGCAGATCAGTATCTGTTGAATTTTAAATGGAAAAAAGTTATTTTAGTAGCATAAAGGAAGAAACTCACTGTATTTCACAAGTTTTGTCTGTGATTTTTATCAGCATAGTGATATATGTTTGTAGCAGAGTTTACATCAAAAATTATTCCTGAATCTTCCTTGAATGAATTATTGCAAAGAAAGAGAGGCTGAGTAAAGATAAGCTGTTTGAGTTTTGCAATATATTTTGTTTCCCAGTTTTTATCTCTTGTAACACAAATATGCTCCATCTAGTCTTTCAGAACTGTCCTGCAGCATGTAACAGTGGTTATACAGTTACAGTGAGTGAAAAGACAATGTATGTTTTATTAAAATGCCTGCCTTCCGTAGACGGTAGCAATTAGGGTTACAATAAACTTGGGTACTGCTTTGCCAGACTGCCTTGTTGTATTTTTGAAGAGAGGTGAAGGGTTTACAGGAGCATCTTTTCTTTTTAGGTTAGACAAGGGTACTTGTGAGAGGAATTTGGTCACTGTACAACTGAAGGTTTATGCAAAAATTGTTCTAATATACACGATAATCAACACAGCTAAATATGTGATTGGCTCTTACTGTATTCTGGGGAGTAAAGAGATTTCAGAGTTTTTACTGGTACTTTTCTGCAGCAATGTAAAAACATAAATTTTGCATGAACATAGTAGAGTTCCTAAAGCTTATTTTCTATTGAAGTTCTATCTGAACAGACAGGTTTGAGCAGTGAAGCTTTAGCAACGACGTTTTTGTGAGTCTGAAAGGTCTTGACAACTTCAAGGCTCACGTTTTCTGAATGCTTACAGATGGACATGGAGCCATTCTGGTAGGAGCTGAAGCTTCCCTTTATTGCAAGTTAACAGAACTTAGAGTTGCATTTAGTGAAAATGGAAAATGAAAATGGAAAGCTTTGGCATCTGATTTGCCGTTAGCGTGGGTATTGTAGGCAGGAACAGTTGATGATTTTTGTGTGCCCTTGCAGTAGGCCAGGGTTAGCATTTGAATTTTTATTTGTAAATTAAATCAGACTCCTTGAATTTAGACAGAGAGAAGAGGTAATGACCTTACTAGCTAAATCAAATGCCATTAGAACCTGAAAACACTGTAAATAAACTGCTTGTTTAAATCAGGTTCAGTCTGATTATCACAAAAGATTCTGAATGTTTCAAATCTGGAAAGGAAGCATCCTATCATTGAGAAATAAGATTTAAACCTTAATAAAGTAGTTGTCATTTTTATAGCTGAAAAGAGCTTTGTATCTCAATTAAATGTACATAATATAAAGTCTTAAGGAAGCAGCATAATAGGTTTAATACAATTATATCCCTTTGCAATAGTGTAATTTAAAGGAAATCTGATTCCGTTAATGTCTCTTACATTATTTGGACAAGGGAGAAACTTCAGTGTCACTGAGCACTGCATTTTTTACAAAGTGCACCGTGGACAAAGTGTGAGTTGTGATTGATGCGTTAGCTGCTGTCCCTCCGAAGGGCTGGGGTTACCAGCTTGCCTCGGCATCTGCACCACGGGAGCACTGAGCTGGCACTGATGCTCGGAGAGCGACTGGCAGATTTCAGGGTACCACTTCTAGTACCACTGAGAAAAATCAGTTGGGTAAACTTACAGTTTCCAAAACACAGGCTCTTTTCTTCTGTTCATATGTGTTTGAGGGCTGCAGAAATCAGGTTTATGTGATAATTTACTCAAAACTGAAGAAACGTTCTCTATCCTTGTTTTTTCTTTTTGTTCTTTTTTTTTTTTTTTTTTAATAAAGCAGATGCATCTTAATTGCTAGGTCAAAATATCCTTAAATTTAAGGTAGTTTAAACAAAGGTGTTCTATAGGTCACAGAATACATTGCTAACTTCAGTTTATAATTAAATTGCCTGCTTTGCACCCTGCAGCTTAAGATTTCCTTTAAATTCTTATTCCATTGTTGCACTGGGGCTTAACAGAATGTTAACCTGGTAATAGGCCCAGGGCCTCCCCATTATATGTCTCGCTATCGAGCGGTTCTGCATGACTAGTTAAAAAAGATGGCAAGAAGATTAATGAAAGCAGCCTAGTACAGAAGGGGGTAGGTACCTTTGCAAGACTTCTAGCGAGGAGATATTAGAGCTGAACCAGAGCTTGGCTTTTTCTTTATCCTGTGACCTTTGAACCTGCCTTACTGTCGAAAGCTGCCAGCAGAGCTGACGTTTTGATTGATGTTGCTACACGAGTCAGTCTTTCCCATTGAATTCCACATCTGCACGAAAATAGCTTTTCTGGCAGTATTCATACTGGCTGTAAGTGATAGCCAAAGTGATGGCTGAAATGCTTTTATGTAGTTTTCATTTAAAGCTAAAGGTATTTGATGTTTTAATTCAGTATCAAGTTCCTCCAGATTATGTACATTGGGATCTACTACCTTAATTAATTCATTATAGGGTTATGAAAGGACTAAAAGGATACAGCGTGTTTTAGTAAGGCGTGGATTCTTGCTGCGAAAGTAGCTTAAATAAAGATGTAGCACGCTGGTCCGTAGCCCTGCAGAGGAGGAACTCATGCAAACGGGCAGCAGTTATCCATGTGCTCTGGGACTGATCAGCTGTTTACACAAAATATTTTCTGGTATTTCCTAATATTAATGCTGCCACCATGGATAATGCAATATGTGAAATAACAGAAGAAAGTACGTAGTGGATAGAAGGCTAATCACAGGTCCTGATCAAAGGGTAGGAAATAGATTCAGCAGAGAAAACGTTGCAGACTTCTGGCATGGCGTGAAAGAAATTTCAAAGTATGTAACAGAAAGAAGCAAGTCCAAATGCACGTGGATGTGTTGTCTGCAGAGTAGTTAAATGCCTCAAAAGGGAAGGGTGCGAAGTTGCAGATGGTGCTCAATTTTGTTGTATTTTTCCATTTTCTACGGGAGACTGAGGACCGTGCCAGGTCCCTGACTCCCGGAGCAGCCGTACTGCGCGTGCCCCGTGCCATAGGGCACAAACCCAGACTGCTTTTCTTGTAGCCCCGGAGAGGTG